CTGCTTTTTGTTTTTGTTATGTTTGTTATGTTTGTTTATACTCCTGTTCTTCCTTGTAAAGCGACATTGGGTCTCATGAAAGGCGCTATCAAAATCCAAATTATTATTATTATCATGCTAAGCTAAGTGTCTGCGGCAGAGTCCTGCACGGGTCTGATTTTCAAGACCCGCTCCCGCCCCGCACCCGCGACGTGCAATACCGAACCCGCCCCGCTACCCGCACATATTGCCAATTAGTTCCGCAGCCCGACCCGACCCGTCGGCACAGGATCCGCAACCCGACCCGAACCCGCATATATATAAGAGCAGTGAAAACGTGCAATTATTAACACACGCAGTTGCATATTTGGCTCAAAAAGCCTGGGATGTTGGTTATTTTCTGCATCTAGGATGACACCAAAAGCCTCCCAGACGTTGGATTTTGCTCTTGAGGAAGAGTTATTGAAAATGCTGTATTCTCCGCTATAGAGAGCTTCACCTCAGCCATTCAGAATGTGGTGCGCTCAGCAGCAGATTGATGCGCTGCAGAGGTTATGATTATGCTCGGTCCGGCGGGGGAGAGGTCTGAGGATTTAAACATTAAACTAAATTATTATTATTTAAATATATTTATTATGCAACACCCGCAACCCGACCCGCATCATCTTTGTTTTACCCAGAACCAAACCCGGAAAAAAGCGTTTGAAAAAATACCACCCGCGAATCACCTTTTTTGCGGGTCACCCGTCGGGTACCCGCGGATACCCGACCCGATGCAGGACTCTGACGCACGCACGCATGCACACACTAGCTATGGTAGACAAAGCTGGTCATAGTGAAGTTTAGGAATACTCCTGAACAACCAATACATTCCAGGCGCTAATAAAAAACATTTGGAAAAACATTGCGTATCTGATTGTTAGTGCACATGTGAGTATGTGTATTTTAGCACTCTAATAACCGCCTGTACACTTTTTCAGATTAGACTGTATTTTATTTTATTATATATATATATATATTATTATATTAGCAAAAGTATGCAGCCTTGCCGCATTGCCTCTATTTTTTCAAACTGACTGACTATTCTTGCTCCCCCGAGGGCAGTCAGATCAGATGACAGCTGTATGAAGCAGCTCGAAGAAACAAAACCACAGAAGTGAAAAGTAATTAGCTGTTTTTTATGCAAGAATCTCAACCTCGTGCTGAGCAAAGAGCAAATCTCATTTCATACGAATGCAGCTTTGCAGAAAGCTTAGGATGAGCTTCGGTTTTAAACTAAAATCCCCAGAAAGTGCCAGTCACACTCAGTATTTGTGAGTCCTAATTTTATCGGATCGCTAGAAACACGCTGTCATTAGACTGGTAGGGGCTGTTACTTGCTCTACTCAACCCCCCTCCGTTTAAATAGACTCAGTAGTGCCCCCTGCTTCTGTGGAGAATAACTCAGGACATTTGTGAGAAAATACTCAGCAAAAAACGGAATTTTCCTGCCAAAAGTCACATGATATTCTTTTTCTCTGTAGGATTTATTTGTTGTACTCAAAAAAAAAAAAAAATTGTATTTGTAAAACCTATGCTGTATTTGTTTCTGCGTTTGTATTCGTAGAAAATATTTGAGTGTACTTGTGTACTATTTGAGTGTAACCTGTGCTGTATTTGTGAAAAATGTAAAAAAAAATGTCATGTGTTTGTTTGATAGATACGCTGTATTTGCAAAACTTAATGCATTAGTTTGAAGATGGTGATTTGATTTTTGCAAACTACACTGTGTTTCTTAGTATCATAAGGCATCTGTAAAACACGTTTATTTTGTTTGTGGAGTAATGGCAGGATATTATCTCCATACTAGAGAGGGGAAATTCTTGGTCACTGCATGTGGATGCAAATATTTTGGATTTGCAATTCAAGTTTGCAGGAAAGTTAAGTCCTCTTCAGGTTTGCCACTGGAATTAAATACGCCTTTTACTTAAAGGAATCTCCAAAAAGATAAACCTGTGAGTCCTAGTCCAAAATATATCACTAAATACTTTCATTTCATTATGGAGATATATAGATCACTCACAGACTGTATTATGCTTTTCAGTCATAAAGTGCATTATGATTATATCGACAACAAAAAAGACTACCCACTGTTTTCTTTTGAGTTAAATCATCTGTAAAATACATTTAATGTGATCAGTACACACCATTTTTTTTTTATAAAGATGATATATCAATCTATTTTAACTTTGTGCATTCTCTTTGACAGAGTTCCTTGAGTTCATGAAAGGAGTTGAATAAACAATCCAGCGTCCTCAAATTGCAGCATCTTCCATTCCTTAGGACATCATTCCACCTTGTGTCTGCGTCTAACAAAACCAACTGTCCTGTCACCTATTCTCAAAGAACCCCACCCAGGCCCTGAAAGGTCATTGACCGACTGACTGAAATAGCTTTACTTCTGATAGCGATGATTCATCAAAATGTCATAAAGACTGTTAATTAAAAAGATTATTATAATTGTGTCTTGTGTCTGTTTGACTTATTTGATTATTACAAAGATGACACAGAATTTATTATTTTAAGAGGTTATAGATTAGGTGATTTAAGATCCTACAAATCTGAAGGCGTTTACAGCCAGTTGATTATGGTAATGAATGTCTACTTGTATGCATTCTGTTGAGATTAATGTAGTATGCACAAAGTCAAACACTTTGTGCATACAAAAGTATGCACAAAGTGTTTGACCAAACATTCCCTCTCAAGTCAGAACTGAGGTCACAAAAAATAAATATCGTTCCAGGACAGGCTAACCAATGAGCACCTGCATGTGCACATGAGATGAAATGAAATATGCACCATTTCAGCCCAGATTTAAACTCCTGGCAGGACAAGCTCGAGCTCAATTCTCGCACTGAATAAAAAAAAAAGTGAGGGAGGGACTGCAATATAAGAGGGAAAGAAAGAGAAACTTTAAAACTGTTCAACACAAAAGTTATGATGTGTAAAGACTGATATTGTTCTATAATCGTCTGAAACTGTTAAGTCATGATGTGAAACGGTTAACAAAGAAAAAGAGAAACTCAAGCTGCTGCTACACTTTATTTTATTTATCTAAAAAAAAGCACATTAAAGATGCACACATTTTCAAAAGCTATTTTATTTATTTTCTCTATTTTATTTTTAAATGCAGCCCAAGAGGAACATTACACATATCCACAGTATTTACTGCATATCTGTATAGTTCAATGTTAATTGACAATAAATATTGTTGTTTTTGAATTGTACTTTCTTTATTTGATTGGCAGTCAGTTGTTGTAATGACATGCAGACGTTGATAAAACTGCGGGCTACTTCAATATATCACACTAATTCATAAAGCAACTTAGACATTTTGAAGTTCCGGACCTTTGCATGGGGAGATTTTCTCTAACTGGACCTCGTTGAATTTTAGGTGCATACCCCTGGTGTATAGTGTTGTAATTCATTAAAACAGTAGTTGACAGATCGTTGACATTTTGTTAGCAAGAGACAAAAGGCAGTTGTTATGTTCAGACAATAATTTCCACGTAAAGCTCCATAGAAAGCCCCATTTATTAATTAATACATTATTTAACATTAGACAACCTTAACATACTAACTCTCACATTTTTTGAGTAATCTGTTTGCCTGTAAAATTAAGTATACCTTTCTATGGGCTATGCCAGAATACAAATTCATTTATTTAAAGTTTTTCTTTTTGAATAATTTAGATTCCACCATAAACACGTTACCACTAAGTGACGTTCAGGCCAAATGGTCCATAAAAATACCAAGCCTTCTTTAGACCTTTGATAAACAAACTATAATGAACTTAAACAAAGATACTTAATTGAGATTTGATAGCACTTGCATTGATAATTTGCTGGGTGTAACAAACAAATTGACAAATTGTTTATGTCTGAGGTCATTCTTATAATTGTTTTTAAAAGTATGATTTAATCTTCATCATATCAACTTTAGTGTCTATTCAACACAGTTCCCATCCCCTCCTCCCACATACACGATTACACATACAGTTATTCTCTGACGGAGGTGCTTTTATACATTTCCTATGTCTGTTTATGAATAAGTTTGACCCCACTGCTGTAGATGAGCTGTTCAGACCTAATTCTCTGAGGCAGACAGGAAGACAGATTTTTGTAAACGCCTCCACTCTCTTTTGCCTGTCAGTGAGTCTGACATATGTGCCACACACTGAACCACATACAGTAACACAACAAAAGGTGACAAAGCCGGGCTAAAAATATCTTGATTAACGCGGAAGGATTTGTTGAAGATAATTTACTGGAAATGTAGTGGCAAGTAATTTGAAGTGAAAGTCCACTGAGAATTTCAAATAAATCGGGAATTCTCTGTTACAAGATAACTTACTATAGTTTATTAGCAATTCTCATGACATTAAATAAAGATAATGAATTATCTAGCCGATAAAACAATGATAATGTAATACTTTTCCAAGTTATATTTAATAGTAAACTTAATATCTACTAAATATCTTTGAGGTTTTAGAGATGGCAGTGTGTCAACTGTTTAGTCCAACCGCACAAGACTGAAATAAATCAGCAACTTTTGGATGGATTTCCATGTTGTTTGGTACAGATATTTATGATCCCAAGATGATGAACGCATTGACTTCGGTGTTGAATGCCACGGCATGTGGTCCATTCCTTGACCCTTACCTCTAGAGCCACCAGCTGGTCAAAGTTTTCACTTTCACTGACTTTAATTTATCTTCAACATAGGTTTGCATGAAAATGCAGGAATATAAAAATACATTTGTGTCAAGAAACTTCACTTAAACTGGAAATATAGTAAGAGAATTTAAACTGAGAAAAGACACATTAGCTAAAGCCAATAAACGTGGTCTCAAATGTTCATAATTTAATGTACAACGTCAATATTTTCTATAAATCATTGTTAGATCATGAGGTTTTCCAGGGCCTTGCTAAGGAATTCGAAGCAATGAGTCACTTCATATATACCTCAGGAATATTATGTGGAGATTTATTGTGAGTGCAGTAATTTGAGCTTCTTCCACAAGGGCTCCTTGTACGGTGAAGTACCTCAGCAGATAGTGATAGCCATGCCTAAGCCACTGTTGGATCTGTTATCCTCTGGCCCTCAACCATCTTTGTCTGTATGGTATGTGCCCATCCACAGTCCCATGACCCAACTCCTGGTCTAAATATAAATACCCGAGTAGCACTCCTAAGGTCACATTACGTCATCCCAAGCGACACATTCTCAATCAAGCAGCAGTCGTTGCACGAGCTGTGGACGCGACAAACCCTTTATGATATCCTGGGTAAAAAAAAAAGTCATCAGGGGTGGCTTGATAACGATGGGACACATTAACAGTGAACTTCTGGGGAGAGGGCTTGACCGGAGCTAAAGATTAAATTAAAAAAATCTAAATAGTGCTCTAATATTGATGTACTAAATCATCGAGAATTTTTGCTGACATGGGTAATGGAATTAATAAGGTACAGTATCAAATCTCTACAAAAAATGATTCACCTTAATGACCTTGTTGTACGTTCACAGCCTCATCTTACTTATTTGACTCAATTTCTAACTGTCTTTAGGTTCTGCCTCATCTGTATCTCGGAAATATCAAAGGTAAGATGTCCTGCCTCCTGTCATTTGAGTCTAGAATTAATTTATTTTCAGGATAATGTAGTAGAGTGTGTTTCAGTTCCTCATACAGAGGGGCATGTGGTGAGATGGTACACTGAGCTCAGTTTCTATATAGTGGAGAGGTCACAGTGTAGGGCAGAATGATTGAAGTATAGTATTTTGATGAACAAAACAGTTTTTTATCAGAAGCCGGAGGAAAGATATTCAGGGCTGCTGAGTACGTGAGGGTTGGTGTGGGAGGGGATGTCCCGCAGCGTGGGGGGGTCCCCTCTGCAAACTGTATCCACATCTTTCCATTTGTTTGTTTTTTCATGTGTGCATGCTTGTAATGGTGACTGCTAAAATGAAATATCTTTCAAATATGTACAATTTAAAGTAAACATGACAATTTCAGGGAACCTCTGTTAAATAGAAAAGATGACACACTTTTTCGGCATGTTTTACATCATATGAAACCTTATTGTGAGCAAGTGTGAGAAAGTATGAGGAGACTTAAATTGTCCCAGCCTCTTATAGTGTAAGAAGTTCCCTGGTCTGTTATAAAATGACAATAAAGTAACTACAGAAACAGTGAAGTTGCGAAAAAGCTGTGATGGGAGTTGCTAAGGTAGTTACTTTAGCTTGCGCAGCAAGCAATTTGCGTTAGCAGGGTTTCTTATTCTGCATAGACCTAATTGTTGGATTAAGATAGCCTACTGCCTATTGTGTGTATTGTAGTTAAATTGGCAATATGTCATACATCAAAATAGATATGTAAAGATAAAAGCTAGGAAAATATCAAAAAGTAACTTTAGTTTTAACATTAGCTGAGGATATCTCACCAGCTAACATTAGCTTATTAGCTCTCTTGCGTCTATTTTGCCTTCTTTTTCTAGTTACTGCTAATTTGACATGGTGTTTTCACAGAAATCCAACATTTCTATTACAATTATTGTATAAGGTGAAACACCTTTAAATCTTGAGCATTTAGTGACTGTGTTTCTGGCTTCATTGGGCAGCTTCACTGGCATGTGCTCAGCAGAGACAGTTGTTGGCATTGTGTAGCGCGTGAAAATATTTATCTCATGACCAACCCACTTGTGGTCTTGTCTCTTTATGACCTTCATATCACTCGCTTAGAGTTACACAATCAGATTGTGTTTACTTTGCAGCTAGCATAAAGACTTATATTGTAGCCTACTCGTTTATTCATCTATGTTTCAATTGTATCAGGGTTTGTTTTGGTTTTGCAATTTGTACAAACTCATATATGTGTTGAATTGGGGTAAGTGTAATTAATATAGCTGACAGGAAAGTTCACATTCAATTATTTTCTAAGGGTTGAATTAGCATCCTGCAAACGTGCAAAGCATGAGAAAAAGTTGCTCAAGACACATCTGTCCAAGGTAGAAAACATTTGGCTTCCTTTTAAAGAACAAAATTTGATTAGAAGAATTACTGTTTCTTGCTTCTGGGCCAAGCTGTTGTACTGTTTTAGAAACATTGGTTTTCCGGTTTTTCTTTCAGTTGAAAAAAAAGGGCAATTTTAAGGCCCTATTTGCTTGGGAGAGATCAGGGGAGGGGGGTTGTTGTAGGGTAGAAACTGCTTTATTTAGATCGGATCTGACATGGGGTGATTTGTGATTGGAAGTAAGGAATATTTTAGATGTCGGATTTCTTTGTGCTCTGCAGATGCACGAGACCGGGAACTGTTGGCGCGGCACAACATTACCCACATCCTGTCCATCCACGACACAGCAGCACCCATCCTCGAGGTGAGCTGTCTTCTCTGTGTCTTACTTCGGCCTGTGGGACTCTCTGACCCCAACATTGATACAGCTATTACGTGTACAACCTCCCCTGAATT